TTTCCCAAAATCCTCTTGAAAGCCCTCATTTGTTGAAGGTAAATGTCACGTGTCCTGTGGCTTTTTCTATTAACATCCTTGGTTTTAAATTTCATATTTGAGGGCCCTTGGAGGTTAGAGGGCCCTCTGTTTTTGGTTATTCCTGATAACTTCTTTATATAGTCTAATAGTATCTGTTTGCTTCARATGGGTCTAGCTCCTTTGAGTGAGGTGGTAGAAAGAATGCAGTGGCTATAGGAATCTCACCATGTTTCAGTAAGGAAAAAGGAGTACAATGAGCTCTTTAAGCTCCTTTTCTTATTGTACTTCTTAATGAGTGCCCCTCCTCACACCCTTGTCATCCAGCTGCCCTCTGCCTGCGGTAGCAGGTCCTACCAGAGCTACCAGCTCCTCAGTTGAGTCCTCACGTTAACCTGTCAAAACTCTCTTCCCTGTGCCCAGGACRTCTGCTTTCCTGCATGGGGTTGTTCTGCTCTACCACCGCTTTAGTTAGGGAGTGAAAGCAGGGAAATAGTTTCATGTCAGCTGCGCTTGAGGTGGCTTGATGTGGGGTTGGGGAACACTGCAGCTCTTACAGTTGTTTAGCAAAACAAATGTTTAATTTGAGCCACCGTGTAAATGACTACAGTGAGATTTATTTCTTTGAGGACACACCAAGTGTTTCTCTGAACAAGTCTAGGCTAATAGTTTTATAAACTTTTAATATATTTTTAAAAAAGAACGCATCTGCAGTTCAGGGAGGAATGTGGCTTTGCTGTTGCATTTTGCCTTTGTAAAACTGTACACACTTGAGCACACAGTGTTCTGTTATTAAAGAAATGTACTGTTAAACATTTGAAATAAGGGTTGTTTTTAACAAAAACGCATTATTCAACTTCAGTCTCCTACAATATGTTATTGTAAACATTGATGAAGTCTGTTAAGATAGAAGAGAATGGGAGCTGGTTTATGTGCAGATGTGATTATATCAGACTTCATTTTGTCCATTTTTAATTTTGAAGAACTTTGGCAGTAATTGTGTTGCAGTAAAGGAGCAGACATAGGAGGTTACAATCTGAATTGCTTTGTTGCTATCATATTTAAAATGTGTTTAAGAATATTTTAGTAATTGAAAACTGGCATATCTGTTAAGGGACACCACTGTCACAAAACACGTGAAAACAAATAATTAGGAGTGGTGAAATAAATTTTGTGCTAGCATTAAGGTAAGGCTGGTTTGAAGCCAGTTGTATGTTCTTTTGGAGGTGCTGGTGTGTTTAGATTTCGAAGTGTCTCTCATTTCCTTTATTTACCCAGTAACACCGATTATTCTGAATAGAGTTTAAAAAAAAAAATTAAGAGTAGGGATTAAAACCAGATAAAACTGATACAATTTTTCCAAAATCCCAGCTAACAAAATACCATATACAGTGTATTTGTTCACAACTAAAAAAATTAGGGGATTTGTTTCCTTTCTTGGAGGCTTTTGCATCTTTTTCCATTAATCTAAATTCTGTGTTGAATCATTCAATACCATGTTAATATGATTTTTTTTCCCAACAAATCACAAATAGTTTGGGTTTTCACAGTTTAAGAACAAAAAATGCTAGATCCACTCTATTTTAAATTTCTGCCTTCTACTGTGTTTGGAGCTTAGAAGTATTATAAACATTTTGCACTCATATCTGTTATTTTGACAGAAGGTGGGGTGTTTTATGATTGACCACATGAAAGACAATCCACTTGGCTACAAAACAAGTTGTTAATATTCTTTTAACCCAAAACATACTTGATTCTTGATTGACTGACAGTCTCCCCAATACAAGAGTTGGTTATAGAACTTGGTTTGCACTTTGCATGTTGAAGGCAAGTTTAGGTTTGTTTGTTCCTCCTGTTAATTATAACAAATTCTGGCAAGATTAAGGATCGGAGAAGCCTGTCAGATGCTGGCCTTGGGGGCCGGCATCCCCAAGGTTCGTGCAATTTGCACATAATAAATGGCTTCAATAAGATTTTGTTTCTTAGCTTAATTACATAAATCTTTAGGGATTAAAGCTGATGTGAAATTAAGGGTCATGGGACYACCACAAACCTTTAGAGATTGTGGTGATAAAATCCAGCTGTTTCTTTTCAAAAACAACTGCTGAATAAATTGTTCTTATCCACTAGCGTTTGTAAGTGATTGCAATGATACTGTTAATCTAAAAAGAAAAAAAAAGGATTACTTGCATTAAACACTGAAATGAATTGCATAATTAAAGACTAGTCAGATTCCCTGACTGGCTTGATTGCATGCGTTGCATCGTCGTGTGAGGATGTACCGGATGTCTGGAGTCTGGATGGAATGGCCCAGATTCCCTGGATCCCCCGTTATGGCAGGATCAGCCCTTGGGGGGGCTCTTCCTGRCTGCGTGGCCGGATGAGGCAGTGAAGGAGGGTCCCGGATTTCACACCGATGGGCAACAAGGAGGAAGCAGTAGGATCTGCAGCTAAGTGGATTAAATTTAGACTGGTTTAAGGAAGGTGGAATGGAAAGCAGTAACAATCAGCATGGATTGGGGCTTGGGTATGAGGTAGAAAGGCAGCAGCAATCCGTACATATTTGTGGGATTTTTGTTTAATTTCTAAGCAGATTGGTAAAACTGTCGAGTTTCAGACTCAGGTGGGGGAAGAGCTGCTTTGGAAATATCTGTGCCTTATTCCTTTCTTGTTAATTGAAGTTTATCACTGATGATATACACAACTAGTATTAAGTGACTACTATTAAGTGACCAAATGTCAGTATTTTTAAGGAGTATATCAGTAATTTTATAAAAGTCATACATCTGTTAACAGTGCTATCATATGCCTTAGATTTTGCTTGTTTTGTAATTTGTTTAATAATTTGTCAATGGAATTATAAATAACATCAGGAAAGAGGCATTTGTTCTGTTCAGAACAAACTATAACGTGAAGCAGTAGAAACATACACTGTACAAGGCACAGAATAATGTTTTAAATACTTCTTAAACCTGGATCTACAGCGCTTGCTAAGCATGCTTAGCATCGCAAAAATGAAGTAATACATATGCTGGTAAAGATGTTTTCTATAGGAATATCTAGTTCAAAAAAGACCTTATAATCCAGCTTACAGGCGTTTATTTTCTGTGATACAATTCTGCATATTTTTGGGATGTTCCACTTATTGTTAATACCACCCAAAAGAGGATTTGCACATCAGTGTACATTACAAGTATTTAAGTCGTGGATAATACATGTGTAATTTAAAAACACTTATCGTGCGCTTTTAGGTGCTTGTTCTGTGCGTGACCCTCGCAGGGTGAGGGAAGGGCCTGGATTGGGAATCCTGTCAGGCCGTGTCCTCAGCGAAGCAGAGCTCTGGGATTCCTGTCCGACTGAGGCGAGCGGGAACGCCGGCCGTCTCGCCATGAACACGGATGCGGGGAGGTTGGCGGGAACGCTGCGTGCCAACCTGGAAACACATCCTATACGTATCCCAGTTCCGGCCCTCCGAGTGCCTAACTTGCCCAGCATGGAGCAGCAGCAGCAGCTTCCTGGCTGTAGCAWGGACACAGCCCGGCCAGAGGAAATTAAAAAGTATCTCATTCAGTGGCAGTCGTGTCTGCTAGGAGGTGGTGCTGTTTAATTAGGGTCCCAGCCGTTGAATAGGAGTTAATGACATTTGGGCCTTGTTCTTTTGGTGCTAAGGAGCCGTCCGGTGAGTGACTCGGCCTGAGGCCTGCYCGGATCTGCACAGGGCGCCTTGTAAACGTCTGCATCCAGTTGTCCAGGACTTTATCTCACAGACCCCTTTGCATGAACCGGCTTTTAAAATTCTTTTAAGGGAATTTCTAGCACGTATGATGAGGATTGCTTTGACAGCAGAGCCCTTAGAAATGAATGATCCTGTAAAGAAGAAAAACAAACGGGAGGTGGTCTGCTTTGGCAGAGAGCAATAAAGATGTTCGGGCAGTGAGGATTATTTTGCACAGTCATTCTTCAAGATACCCCTCACAGCTCTGGGTCAAACTCTTCGTACAGCTGTGTTGCTGTCCRGAGAAAACATGAACAGCCTAAAGGGGCCACCCAGTGTGTTACGTTTGTTGCCCATCTGAGTTGTAGGAAGGCGCTCCTGATCCCTCTCCAAAATGGGAAGCAGGCCCAAATATCAAAATGCTTCCATCCTTCCATCGTGTGTGTCTTGTATAAGGATCCTGTGGCTGTGGAGTTCAGCTCCTCTGTTCCTACTGTACACTGCCAGTGAATATAAATTATTAACAATCCCCAAAACCTGGTGTATTTTTCATACACAGCRAATTTACCATTTGTTAGTTGTAAGAAATCTTACAAAGCTACTTGGGTAACTGATTTTCGCTTGTAGCTGGCTTGGTGTTTGCCGAAGGATGAAGTTGTGGAGCTGAGAGAGGGGAGTTACAGTAGGGTTGTCATTACTTTCTAATGCTGTACATGACAGCAAGAAAAATGAATGGAAAATGAAAAGCAGCATTTTCTTCCGAGAACATCGTTGCCCTCTTGCACATAACCTAATTGTAGGTTATAACTTAAATTGAAACCTGATTGCTCCTGGAGATGCTTGTGAGCATCCGTGAGCAACAAACACCCAAGAAAATCTAAACACAGGAGAAGAGGGTTCCTGGTTTTAGTCAAAATTGCAGGCTGGTAACTTTCTGTCAAGGTACTGCATCCCATGTTAAGGAATGGGGTTCTAGCTCAGATTGCTGCTGAGGCAGAAGTGTAACACTTTCAAGTACTGCATTTTATAGTTAGCTGTCTGCCTTTGTGGCAGCTTTTCATGCTGCACCTGACAGTGGGTAACGCTGCAACGGCATGAACTCCAGAGACCTTCAGTTCAGTAAAATACATAGGACTCATGCATTAAAAAAAAGGCTTTTGAAAACTGAATTTACAGCCACAAGGCCAGAAGTTGAGAATATTGGGGATGAATGAATGCTTGACAGTGCATCTGTGACTCAGTTCTGTTGTTTTGCTCTCTTTTTAAGAATTTCTTTGCAAGGAATGCCCAAGAGTTCATATTTTTGTGGAACGTATTGAACTGAAGGACATTCCAGAAGAACAGATTTATATGAGAAGATGGCTTCATGAACGCTTTGAAATAAAGGATAAGTGAGTAACAGTATTCAGAACTTTCAAGAAGCTTGCTTATTTCTTTTACATGAACAGAATGCAATCTAAGACATTTTAGGTTCATTTCTGTGGTCTCATTTGTCCACTGTAGCAAATACCTCAGTGAGGGAGTGAGGTTTACAAACTGTTTTGCCTATTCCAAATTAATTGTGAAATACCCATGGTAACTTCAGACCAGTCATTACTCTTTTGGATGGAGTTGCACAGATGGTGTCCATAGTCCTGTGATTATTTTGGACAATAACCTCATGAGTAAACCTGTTGCTCAGGAGGTTGGGATTCTTGAGTTTTTAGTCTTCCTTAATCTGAAGGAAAAAAGAAAAAGCCATGAATCCTGAATCCCCTTTCCAGGAGGGATTCCATTCACCTGAGTACTTTCTATGTTTTCTCTTGACACTATCATGCGTGACCAAGACTGGCAAATTCCTGAGGCAGGAAAGCAAGGAAATGGGAGCTTGATTCCAACCCAGCGATCAGTATGCTGAGTTACAAAGCAGCAGGTCACTTCTACCAACACGTTTCTGCATCTTCCATCAGAGAGAGACTGGATAAAACCTGAAGTGACCCAGAGATCCCAACCTCCATTGGGAAAAAAATTTAAATGAAGTAGAAGATTTTTCTGTCCACCTCGAAATCACAGCAAAACTTAAATGCCTGGTTCCATCCAGCATCTCCAGATAAGGTCACTAGCGAGTGTTTGCAAGAGATTCTAGGCTCCTTGTGGAGGGTCTGCTGTTTATTTCTTTTTTAATGTGTCTGTGGGACTTAAATGTTATTTGATGATAGCTTCATTTACCTTGTCTGAAGTTCAGATTTAAGAGGGATGAATCGCCTGTTTTCTAAATCCCTAAATTTGTACATATTTGCCAGTTTTTTAGATATGTTCTTGTTTAAAATTCCACTGCTGCCACACCATGGGAGTAAAGGAATGGATGGATTTGACCCGTGATCCTCGTAGGCGTTGCYTGTCTGTAAACATGGCACTATTACCAAAACGTATCATCAGCTTAGGAGAACTGCTTTTTATTTCCCTCACTTAGAGCCAAGAAAGTCTTAATTTCATTTTATAGACAAGGAAGTGATAGTAAAATAAATGGCTAGTCTGCTGTCCCACAGGAAGCCTTCTGGTGCAGACGAGCAAATTTGACCAGATCATCTGTGTCTCATTGTAGCCTCTTTCTGACTGGAGCTTCCAAATCAGCCTCTCAGCCTCATATCATGTGAATTGAGAGAGATTTAAAACAAAACCCATTTTAAAAAAATTATTATTGCTTTTCAAATATGAGAGAAAAAATACTACTAGGTTTAACATTTTACTACAGCATTATTGATTTCCAATTTTGTTTTTAGTATTATCAACTCTCTTTATTAATTTGTGTCATGAATGCATTTTTTTCCTGTGCTTTTCAGTGGTTAACTGTATTGTATTTTAATCTTGTAGTATTGACCAATACTTTGGGCTTATTTTCTAAGTGCCAAGCTAAAAAAAAAAAAAGATTTTTTTAAGCTTTTATATTCTATGTTAAAATTATTCCCTTAGGAAAAAGCTCGTTTTATTGCTCACAAGGGTTTGGGCTGAGTACTGGTTGTGTAACATTGCTCTGATGAATACAGCGTATTCTCAAAATGTGTTAATCAGTTAAACTTGCTACAGATGGGTCGCTGGACATACTGTTGAACCAAATTTGTTTGATTATGTATGATTAAAAACAGATTTTGAATGAAAGAAAATGGCTTTAAACTTCTTGCACTGATGCATGAATCTGACCATCTACTTTTGTCTGCTTGTAGGTTATTAATAGAGTTTTATGATGCAAAGGATTCCAAAAGAAGAAATAAGTTCCCTGGAAAAGGTGTCCATTCCAAATTAAGCCTCAAGAAAACTTTGCCATCTTTGCTGTTTTTAGGTGGCCTGACTGCTAGTATGCTGCTGACAGAATCTGGAAGGAAACTTTATGTAAAAACATGGATATATGGGACCTTAATTGGCTGCCTGTGGGTTAGCATTAAACCGTAAGCAGGTGTTAGTCTCCAATCAGTGAGATGTGCTGTCTTTTCTTGCACAGTGCACCAAACTTTTTCCTGAATTTATAGAAAAGAGTGTAAATAAAGCCTTAATGATTGAACATTGGAAAGAATAGAATTTGTGACTTAAGACTCTGTGTGGTTGGTCTGGGGGAAATATATGTAGTTTTTTTCAAAATTGATACTGAGTTTTGCTGGAAGAATGACAGATAAACTGAGTTATGTGATAAACTGTTTTCCCCATGAACTAACAACCATCTCTATCTGCAGAAGATTGAAGTRTGAGTTATGCATAAGGGTGTCTTAAGTGGACCTGTGAATGTATTTGAGAGATTAATTTACAATATATATTTATTCTTCTGATATTCATGTTGAATTTTTGTTGCTCTTTGGTGCATTGCAGCAACTCAGTTGCATCTAACCCAGCTGTATTGCAGCTAAAATCAACAGGTTTTTTTTTAGAATTTTGCTTTTTAGTTTTAGATAAATACTTTGTTCTTTATGAGGGACTGTGTAAACTGGCAAATCATGAGATGTTACGTGAGGCAGAATATAATGCTCCTGAGGACGGCTGTTCATGGGGAAGCAGCTCTGTTTATCTGGTGCATGATGTTTTGGTTATGTTACATATTAGCTCATTATTTTACATCTGCAAAACATGAAATTTTACAGAGCAAAGAGCTTATTTTGCGCACCCTGTGTTTGTGCACAAGAGGAATGTATGCAGTATAAGAAAATGTTAAGTTTTTTAAATGTGGCCTAGCCAGACTGTATCCTACCGTGTGCCCGAGTTGCCAGTTGCTTGTGGGAAGTTCCAGCGGAGCTAACAGAGCTGCAGTGTCCGTGCCACGAGGAGCAGCRAACGCTCCCAAGCTCCCCGTTACCTCAAAAGTTACCTGGAAGCGAATTTACCTACTTTGCTTAATGTAGAGAATATCCCGGACTCCTGCAGGTGTAGTAATGGTAATGGGGAACACGCAGAGTTCCTGCTCATCGGAAGCCTTTTCCTGCTGACCTGATTGAGCCTAACGTTTCATCACCTGGAAAGCATCTTCRTGGCTCGACACCGCACTAGATTTGCCAGCCCCGGTAGGCGACGCAGGCTGCAGCTGGACTGAAGTTATGGGCTTAATATATATGGCTTGTACAGTAGATTGATAGTGAAAGAAATGCATATTGTATCAGTATTTCACTTGCTTGAAAATATACTTTAAAAAATGAGATAGGCAAACCCTTAAGCAGACCTTAAAAAAGGTCTGTTATTCCTATGGCTGATATATTTTGGGGGGAAATGCCATTTCCTCATATCAAGAGAATAGTCTATACATGCAGCACTGGAGTAGGAAGGAAGATGTATTTTATCTTCTTTCATTAGATAATCAGACTCTGCATCAAGGTGAAAAATAAACTAGAGAATATTTTTCTATCACACTTCTAAGYTTTAAATGTGCATTTCTTTCTAGCTTCAGTAGTGTTTGTCTTGCATTAGAGCCTGCTATGAGTTACAATGATATGTCTAAAAATTTTAACTCAATTTTTCAGATTTCACTGTTGTCAGTTAATTAAAATTACTGCTTTTACTGTGTTTTTTTCCATAGAATATTATAGAATAATTATGGCTCCACCTTAAAAATCATTTAGTACAACTTTCAGTTTGCAGTTCTGTGTCTTTCCGTAATAGATTTTTGTCACCAGAGTTATTTATATCAGAGATTGATTCAGGATATGTTGATGAACCATGTTAAAAACAATGACTGGGAACAATGTTGAAAAACAGTATTGTTAGGAGGCTGTGAAACCAGGGGGAAAAAAAAAAGCCATTTTATGTAACAGCCAAATGTGCTCCCATGTAATTCTTCCTATTCTCAGCTGAATGTTTCCAGTGGGTATGACCAGAAAGCTGTGTTCCTATGTTAGTTGAATTTTTGAATCATGGAATGAAATTTCACTCTGATATGATTAAATTTCTTGGTAATAGTTAAGAGGGACATTTGATCTTACATCAAAAATAAGTGCAAGCTTCTTAACTCATTTGTAGAAAAACAACTGTTGTTTTGGAGAGCTTAATTGCCACAAAATGTTGGACCTCTCTTGCAGTTTAACTACTGGGAATATATTTGACGTAATGCAGCAAACCAACAGGAAGTTTATTTTGAAAGTTACTCTCCATGTTAAACAATTTTGTTGGAGGGTTTTCTGCAATTAATTTATATTTTTTTTGAATCTAATTTGCTGGTGTATTTGGTGTTGGGATTATCACATGCTATTTCTTAATATGCACTGATATTAACTTGAAGTATTTGTTCATTAAAAGGAGAAGAGCCAATGCTCACGCAACTTTTCTGTCCTGTCTACTTGTTCATTTTATTCTGCGTTTTTATGTCTGTAACTTGGTTAACAGGAACTGTCTACGGAAAGGCTACATTGCCACTTCAAGTCCTTGATGTAGGATTTGTGTGAGAAGCAACCCCCGAAAGGAAGAAAAAGTGTGTCCATGTTGCGTCCCTGTTTTCATGCAGCTAAATTATTTTACCTTTGGATACACGCCGTGGAATCCCGTGCAGCCCACAGCCRGGCCGGGCGGCGGGAAGAGCCGCTCCGTAAGCGGCGGCACCGCCTGGTGCTCCAGTGGAGCCGTCGGCACCTCCGGCCTCGCGCCGGCCGCGTCGGGCGACGCTGTCCAGGAGCGGGAGCGGAGCCGGCGCTGGGAAGAGCCTCGCGAGCACCGCGCCAAGGGGCCCGCAGCCGGAGACACCCCGGGTGCCGTGACAGGATCAACCTGAGGATCCACTTGTGTGCTCAGCTTGTCTTCTTTTGTTCAGCTGTGTCAGTGCACCTAATAAAGGAGATTTCCCTCCACACGAGTGTTGCCCTGTTTGCGTGCATAAGCCATGTGCAGATAAGCCCTTTATGTTCAGCAGCACCATCACTGTGTGCTAATTCCACAATCCCATACGTGTCGCTTTTTTGGAAGGAGCTGGGCTAGTAAGGAAGAGACGATTTACTTAACAGAGCATTACAAAAAAGTGTGAGGTGTGAGTAATGCTACCATGAGGAAACGTCTGAGTAGGATGTCTGAGAAGATCACTCTGTAGAAAGAAGGGAAAACGGTCAAAATTAGCAAGTCCTCTGAAGCTGCTTGCCCAGTCTTTGACTTTGTAGCTATTCTTCCCTCCTGCAACCTTCTCCTGACTCCAGTGGAGTCATTTCATAGTGTAGTGCTAAACACTGTGCCATCTTCCCTTCAGGAGAATACAGCATANGAGCCGTCTCTTCTCCAGAGAAAACAGGCCCAGCTCGCTCAGCCTCTCTTCATACGAGAGATGTTCCATTCCCTTAATCATCCTGGTTGCCCTTCTCTGGACCCTCTCCAGAAGCTCCACGTCCCTCCTATACTGGGGTGCCCAGAACTGAACACAGTACTTCAGGTGCGGCCTCACCAGAGCTGAGTAGAGGGGCAGAATCACCTCCCTTGACCTGCTGGCAACGCTCCTCCTGATGCAGGCCAGGATGCCATTGGCCTTCTTGGCCACGAGGGCACACTGCTGACTCATGGTTAACTTGGTGTCAACCAGGACTCCCAGGTCCCTCTCCGTGGAGGTGCTTTCCAGCAGGTAAAAGTGTCTCTAATCGAACTGAATTCTGAGGGAGAGGGAGGGAGCTATTTCAGGAATGGATTTTGAGGGAAACCAGGAGCAGGTGTGGGATCTCTGGCGTAGTGTTGCTGGAAGTGATGGAGCAGACTTCTCCCTCTTCTCCAAATAACAGATTCCCTTAGCTGCAGAAATTTCAGGATAACCTTGCCCAGAAGGTCTACAGAAAAGTACTCAATATGTTTAGAATCTCCCCACCTTCTTAAAGCCTTTAAAAAACAYTTTCCTTTATAAACCTGGAGACCACAGTTTAGTCCTAACCTGTAATTGTAGGTCACCTTAAGTAGTTGACTCTGATGACAGGCTTTTAAGTGAACATGATGGGATTTTGCTTGTCTTACCTTGGCTTGTCTTACCTTTGTCCATCCTGTTAGTTTGGAGCTCTGCAGTCACAGTGAAAGAGATCTTGGCATACTACATAAATTGCCACGCATAAGACAAAAAAGAAATGTTAAATTAATAGAATGGCACAAGTTACGCAGATAATAYACAGCAATTTAGTGAGTGCAAAGCTGTAATGATCTAATACAAAAATATTAGAAGTATCAGACTTCATCTGCTGTAGTCACATTTAATTGATTCCAGAGAAGATAAGCCTTTCATTTAAGGGCAATTTTCCCGGTCAGTGTGGTGCATATTTCTCGTTTCTTCTCTTCTTTCAGTGCTAGGTCTGTGTATCTATCCTTGATTCTCCGGATCTGTGCTTGATGAGTCCCTCGGCACCTATGCCTGCTTTTTCAGACACTGGTGTGAACCTCAGATTTCCTTCCTTCTTCTCCATAGCACAAAGTATTTTCTTACCTATATTCAGGCTCAGGAGATCAACTCACATTAGATCATTGGCATTTATCTTTGCACAACATTTTCTGCTTTGGAAGACTGGTGAGCACGGCTTCTCCTGCTCGTGAAGAGGCTGAAATCTGTTGCTACTAAACTGTGAAAAAGCTGTTGAGATCAAGGTGCCTGGTAAGTCTACATTGAATAGACAAAGAGGGGAATTCCCAGCTATTGATGCTCCACTGACTGACAGTTTGCACAGCCGTAAGTAAATACACAGAACAGAACCTACCCTTAAAATAGTTGTTTGTTTCTGGTTCATATTTGTAATATGAAAAATGCATTAGGGACGCTGGTACAGACTGTGTGTTAGGCAGCCACTGTGTCTCTTAYCTTGTATGGGAATTCGGTTTTCAGTGGAAATGTTGCCCTGTGTTTGTGTTCTCTGCATGACTAATTCAGAACAGAATCACTTTAACCTGTTTACCTGATGATGAGGCAAGCACGAAGGTAATGCAGAGGACAGAGATGTTTGAAGGCAGAAGCAGCTTTTACTCGCAGATGTGCTGCGCTGAGCAGCTGGGTCCATCGCAGAGTAGGGACAGATGAACAGGCCCTCCAAATCTCYGTCCCAAAAGTGTAATACTGAGACCCAGCTCACCTAGAGCTGCCCCTATGAAGGGTTTAGTAGAGAGGCGTGAGCTAAAACCCGCTCATCTCTGAAGTTTAAATGAGTCAGTGTCACAAATTGTTTTGTTTGCAAAGTATCCAGAACTTGGGACTGCTCTCCTGAAGGTCCAGCTTTTACCATTCTCCTTCCAAAAAGTAACTTAGAGCTCATTCTTATTTTGAATAATAGCTGGATGAGGGTGATAAATACTTAATCTGTGGAAGCCTAGTCCCTGSAGTAGGAAATAGGAGATATGGTCACAGTACTCTCCTGGCCTGAGGAAGACCAGAACTGCAGCACTTTCCATCACTGCCACCACCTTTTCCTTAGGGAGGCTCTCCCAGGCTATTCGGAGTAGGCATCTCTTGAGTGGCCTGACAAAGACGAGAAAAACTCTTAAGAATCATAGGGTTACTATGATTGTAATGACTAAGGTATTGGCTGGGCACATGGAGTACTGTGTTCAGTCCTGCTCTTTGGAAGGAGTATCCAGTGATGCAGGTGCTCTAGCAAAGCCTCTCCTCAGGCCCCCAGSGCCTGTTTTGGTCCCACATTGTCTATACCAAGGCTCTCCTTCCCCCACCTTCTTTAAMGACTCCCACGAAAGCTGAAAATGCCAAAGTAATTTTGAATGGCTGGACGCAGCAATTCACAGCAAGCCTCCGGCCGCCTCAGCTGCGCAGCTATTCCATCCGACTGGGACCACAGGGGAAACTGAGCTAGAGAGAATTTAATTTGCAATCGGCCAAGACGTGAGAGTTGACGCTGTGGTGTTCCCAATAATCTCCAAATACCGTGTGGCATCGTAAGCCACAAGGGAAAGAACACACAGTCTCCAAGGCTGAAACMTGAACCTAAGCTCTTAACATTAGTTACCTCTCAAACCATAATAAACCATAGTCGAGGCTTTTGCTTCTGTTTTAGCAGACATTTACATCTGCTATATGTTTTGTATAAAAAAAGGAAAGTTCAGACTCAGCAAACAGCATTGCCTTTCCATTCGGTTGTCCTGTATAATAATAATTTTCAATACATTTAAATATTATCTACATAATCTATATTTTTGCATTTTCTAAAAAGACAGGAAATCTTCCTTAATTGTCACATGAACTATAAAATAGTGGTAATGGTGGTTTGATAATGAGATGCTTTAATAAATTTCTGTTGACCACAAATCATTGTATTATTATGACGAGGTACTAAAGAGTGTCAAAAACTTTTTTTTTTTTTGGTAAAAAATTGGAGGGAAGAGAAGAAATTAAAAAACAGAATTACTTCTTTCTGAAATGGCTTACTTTTAAACAGCACTTGATTCCCATCATAGATTCATTTGCTTTTCTAATAAAAGAGAAATAAAAATGGGTAAATATCATAATTCACGTTGCTATTTAGAAAGACTCAAGTGGAAGAATAGCTGATGAAATTGTGTTTTAATTGTCCAGAAAACCAATGGTACTCCAAAAARCGGACAAATAATTTTGCATAGCTAAAGCACTCGTGCCAGTACAGGATATGGTATTGTTTTCCATGTTTAAACAGTCATAAGAGATTGTGTATAAATATCCTGATACTGTCAATTGTATTCCTGTCCTATGACAAGATAGCAACAGATTCAAGAAGTCACAGTATTTSAAAAACATCCCCTTTTGCTCTGCAAGTATGAAAGCTCCAAGTGGCTGCTGTCTCGAGCGTGTCCTCCACGTCCTTTTGAACGGCCGTCTGATGCTCTCAAAGCCACTTTAAAGCTAACAATTGTTCTTGGCAGCAAAACGTGTGTGAAAGCAAAGGTGTGAGCAGGGACACGTACTCTTACCAAGAATGCTGGTCAGGGTGATMAGGACCAAGTGGCCCATCAACAAACCCTGCAAAACACTGGAATGAAAAGCCTGGCCAAGCAGAGCCAAGGTGGGATGATGAAGCACCATTTTGAGCAGGGGGAGTTGAGTCCTGGGCATTAGCAGCACGGCTGGGATTGCCCTGGGTACACAGGAGAGGGATCTTGGCGGGCAAGCCCAGGCTGCGTTGAAGTAAATAGGAAGTTTGTATTGATCCTGTATTAACAGAATAAATGTTAAGCTTTAGAAGCCCT